AAGCGACTGAGAAGCGATGCTGTGCTGGAACGAGCGCTTTTGCCCTTCACCTATTTGTATTGCTTCATGCCTGTGTCATGTTTATCACACTGTCACTGAAGGAAGTAAGCGTTTATCGTACCTCCTCAGAGGCATTTAAGCAAGTAAAGTTTGAATTTTAATTGAGTTAAAATAGATTACTTATTACGTCTGTCATTGCTTATGACTTGGATGAGGCTAACATCTTATTCGTTTATAGTCGCGTGAACAGCTCCTTTACAAGCGTTTTCAAGTGATTCCGATTTACCGTCAGCGTAAGATCCGTCTTCTAACGCTCGACAATGCCACGTTTCCAGCTGCCTGGTCCGCAGTATGCTTTTGTCGCGTTTGGTCCTACCCTATATGGTTTTGCCAGTAGAACCTTCACTAGTTGTCAGAATTACTGCATTTTTCATATTTCGATCTGGAACAAAAACAGCTAAAAATCGAGGTTATATCGAATTGTCGTATTCTCAGTTTTGTCACGTCAGCTACCTTCGAAGGAACCTAATTTTTTCTGCAAGTGTCCGAGCTCACTCCCTTGCTCAGTGACTTGCATTTATGAATAGTTACTTGTACTCACTATATTTGGCAGTGGCCATTTGTATGTAAGTATATACTTAAGAGTGAATCAGTATATTGTAATGAGTATACGAGTATATACTGATGAGGAACATTGTTATGAGGCTATATAAAAATATATCCTAACAGTGTTGCACTGAAAGTTCTTTCATGGTTGATGTCGTCCTCCGTCCTGAGGACTGAACACACGAATGTACAAGTTTAAACGGTGTCGCGGACGTCCCTGTTTGATTTAGTGACATGACGATGCTACTGTCGCTTATTTTTGTATCGTTAATCTACTTCTTGGTTATGTGCGCATTCTTTTTCTTTTCTGGCCTAAATACAGCGCAGGTAGCATTTCGTGCTTTAGCTAATCTGTTTTCAATATAGTTTATTTTAGAAGTTTTTATGTTGGCTGTTGGAATTTTCTTTTTCACGACTGAAGTATTTCGCCGATAAGGAGTGTCGTAAGATGAGCCTGAAATTTATAAAGCTGCTACTGCCGTTGGGTGAATCAGGTATTTTGCGCCTAAAGTTTTATCTAGACACCTGGATTTTATTTCTCGTGTCCGAATGTTTTTTCCCAAACATTTCACTGTTTCTTTCTTGAAGCTTTGCATGAAATGTTGAAACAGTATACGCACTTATGTCACCGATCGGACACAGCTGTTTTAGTACCCACGTTTGAAAATACCTTGAGCGAACGGATGAAGCATTTTCAGCACGACTGGCCGTTATTACTAATTTCTTGTCTCGGTGAGGAATTCGCCAACAACCAAGATTTGGCGCTCGAAATACTGAACGCGTTCCCGCGGCATTTGCTCTCTATTGTAGTAAGTTTACTAGCTGCGTTGGCATGCGTCCGTTTCTGTCTGTCCGTTTTGTCATGGTGTGGGCGTGTTTGTGCTGGTTTATTTTCAAACGATGACATTGCAGCCGACCGATTGTTATTGTCCGCTGCAGACCTTTTAGGAAACGAACCGCGACCTGGCCACGCATGATTAAGCCGGAATTCGTCACGACAAGGAAAAGCCTATAAGGCTATTGACTTTACAGCGTAAAAGTGATTACTGTTATCGTCAAGCTGAACTATCCAGGATTCAACACTATATGTTCCTCTTTGTTCACAACCACTGCGACCCCAAAACAGATCTGGAACGTTATTAAAAAGTTACGCGGATATGGAACTCGCCTTATGGGACTTTCACTCGATCGAAACGTCCTGAATCTTGAATTTTGACGCAATGTCGTGGCTTCTTTTTCATGTACCTGTTGTGCCCATCAACCTGCCTGCTTTTCGGAAGCAACTAGATGAACATTCTTAGTTTTGACCGAATAT